ATTGTAAATTCCCATTTACAATATTATGCTAATGTTCTTGGAGCCTCCTCTGGCTCTGACTTTTTTTTTTTTTTTAAAGATTTTATTTATTTGACATAGAGCACAAGCAGGGGGAGTGGCAGGCAGAGGGAGAGGGAGAAGCAGACTCCCCGCGGAGCAGGAAGCCTGATGCAGGGCTCCATCCCAGGACCCTGGGATCATGACCTGAGCCGAAGGCAGACACTCAACCGACTGAGCCACCCAGGCGCCCTGGCTCTGAGTTTATATCTTATTTTTGGTTTCTTACTTTTTAGTCCCTACCTTATGAAATTTCCTTTCTTTTCTTGATTTAACACCTACCCCTGAAGCTACCAGGACCTAAATGATGGTCTGTGGGTCACCAGGGAAAGGTGAGTAAGGGTATCACGTAGCAAACCATTTAAATTAGCACTTCAGGCCTCCCGTTGGGTCCTTTCAGCAGCCCCCCACGTTCTAGTGTTCCTGTAGTCCTGGCCTCTTCCTACTGCTTAGCTCCTTTTTGTGTTTCTGTGTCTTCTTACCCTTTTCTTCTGGCATTGGCTTTAATCCTATCAGCACCTCACAAAATAATCTGAAATCTGACAGTCCCTGTCTCCCCCCAAAGTTTTGCAATGGCTTTGTAGCTGCTCCCCCAGACTATTCTGAATATAACAACAGCAACAAAAGAAAATTATCCTTTAAGCCACAGTAAGTAAGTAAGTAAGTAAATAAATAAATAAATAAATCAATAAAACAGACAGTGGCTTCTTAAATCATGTATAACCCCTATTATTTACATTAGCTTTTTAGTTTTACTTTAAAAATAAAACATGCCTTTTTCTCAAGTCAAAATAAAAAATGAATACAACAATCAGCATATAATCCTTTTAGATGTAAAGTAGACCCCATTGCTCCTCAGAACTCCAGGGGTTTTCTCTCTCACTTGGTAAAATCCCAGGTCACTCTGGTTTCAGTCTACCGCTTTCACCCCAGCAGACTGCTTCCTGTTTTCCCTTAAACACGTAGAGCCCATTACTGCCTCAGGTCCTTTGCAACTTGTCAACTCTGCCTGGAATGTTCTTACTCCAGATAACCCATTCCATTCAGCTCTCTGTTCTAATGTCATTTTTTTTTTTCACTTAGAACATTTCCTAACCTCCTTTGTTATCTTATTTTTCATCATAGCATTTATCATTATCTGACATACTATATATTTTACTTGTTTCTTTATCCTCTTTTGATCGCAGGTTGGGAAACTGTAGCATGTGCATGAGAATTGGCTGGAATGCTTGTCAAAGCACATACTGCTGTGGCCCACTCCCAGAGTTTCTGATTCAGTGATCTGGACTAGGGCTTGAGAATTTGTATTTCAACAAGGTCCTAGAGATACTGATGTTGCTGCTCCATGAATCACACTTTTAGAAACCAATGTACCAGAACTACTCTGGCCCATACAGTGGCCACTTACTACATGTGGTTATTTAAATTGAGTTTAAATGAAAAATATAGTTTGTCAGTCCACTATGTCAATGTATTTCAAGTGCCTAATAGCTACATGTGGTGAGTGACCACTGTATCAGCACAGATATGGAAAATTTACATATTTCAGAACAATTGAACAGCACTGCTCTAGAACGTAATAAACTACATAGAGATGGATTTCTATTCTGCCACCGGCCCCTGCAGAGTAATATCCCAATATTTACATATCTGATCCACTTAGCATTTACTTTAGTGTAAGGCATAAGATGGATACATAAATTTTATTTATCAGATGGCTAGTCAGTTTTTCATACCCGTTGCTGAAAATTCAATTCTTTCCCCAGAAATTTGGGATACCTTTATCATATGTAGTATTAAATTCCCATCGGCGTTTATAGAACTTTCTGGTCTGTTGGATTTGTCTGTCTGAATATAGGAATATTTTCAAGACAGAATTGGCTTCTGGAATTATTGAACAAAGAATTAAACAGAATTATAGAATGAATCAAAGAATAAAGTCATAAACCAGTTCTATGATTTTTAGTTGCCACTTAAAGAGACATCTTTATTAGAAAATATTTAGGTGGTGTTGAGTTCAAAAGGCATGATGTAGGTCTACTCAGCATGCAGCCTTTTTGCCATGAAGTCTGATATTGTATGCAAAAATTATAGATGACCAAATTGACTGGAGGAATAGGCCATTATTATAATATTGTTGGCCCATTATGCACTTCTTTTATTAAGTTAGAAAACTAATGTCACAGATAAAAATACAATACTTCATTAAGACATATCAAAAAGGTTAAATAAGTGTATATATAGAGTGTCAAATTCTTACCTTCTAAAAATGGAAAATATCTTTTTCCTTAAATGTTTATATTTTTGTACATAGGGAGATGAAAAATGGTAGCACTAATAACTATTTTTATCTTGTTAACTTTTGTGTTTTTCTGGCAGAGATTCTAAAGAATGCACATTTAAGAGGTAAAAGATGTTTATAAGCGTTAGTGGTTTTTACATTTATTACTTGGCACATTTATACGTGTAGAGAGAAATACAATCTGAACATACCACCATTTATTCATAGACATCCATTTTGGTTGTCAGTGAAAGTTCTCTCCTCTTCCAGCTTTACTGTATTTATAATTACATTGTATTTACCTAGACGTTACCTAATCTTTTTTAACTTTATTTACTATCAGAGAAAGGTGGTACCATTTCCAAGTCAAGAATTTGTATGTAGCATCAAATTTTTTAAAAATTTTTATTTTTTGTTACCAAAAAATAAACTTGGATAATACCATTATGCTAGTCTTGATGTGGATGAAATTTAGTATCTACTACTCAATGCCAAAATTTGGGCGATTATAGACAAATTTACATATGAGCATACTAAGTAGCTCAAGAGGACATAAAACTCCTAAGTTATTATTGTGGAAGCATCTAATAAAGATATAGGGAACATATTTTGAGGACTGAAACATATTCCAGAGAACTACTTTTTTTTTTTTTTTTAACTGAGGCACTTAGGTTTTTATTATTTTTCTTGATATATGTATAGTGGAATGCTACTTGTAGGTGGGAGAGGAGAAGAGATGTTAAGAAATGGGCAACAGCCACAGAATTCGAGGGTGAGGTAGGTGCGTGAACACAGGCGATGGTTTGAGGATCCATATAAAGTGTTGTTTAACCTCAAGACCACACAATGTCAGACAACTAACCCTCTTCCAGGAGGAGACTGCCTCTGGAAAAGCTAAACCAGAGAGGCTACAGATCAGGGAACTCCACTTAAGAAATTAGGGATGAGGTGCATATGAAAACAGATGTACTAAATTAAAAATATCATACTGAATGGTGAGATTCCTAGCCTCATTTCCCTGTCAAGTTCCTGAAAGCCAGTAGCTAGGTTCATATTATGTAGTCAAGAAACTGGAGAATTTTTTACCGACATTTATATTTCCCCATGGGGAAAAAAAAAAAAAACTGGCCACCTGATTACCATCAAATGAAGCCCATCAACCTATACCTTAATTCATGAAAATAGGACTTTTACAGAGTGTTTTAGTGCCTCGGTCTTGAATATGAACTAACAGCTTAAGATCACCAGACATTTGAGGAAAGCACATACCACAGAACATTTTTTAGTGTTCTTTTCTTAAGGGCTGACAATTAAGAAAGACTCAGAGACCATATTGTTCTGTTGTGGGTGTGAATGGAATTTAACACTTAATCACTATTTGACATTATACATTGACTTGGTTACTTTTTAATTGTCGGAGCACAAGTGACCATAACGTTTTTCTGTCAAGGACCAGATAGTAAATATGTTAGGCTTTGTGGGCCATTCAGTTTTTATCACATCTACTCAAATCTGCCATTGTAACACACAAGCAGCCCTAGATATTATGTAAACAAATGAGCATGGTTGTGTTCCAGTAAAACTTTATTTACAAAATATAAGCCATGGGCCCACTTTGACCTGCAGATTGTAGTTTGCTGACACTTGGCCTATCTATCTAGTAGTGTAGATCTGTGGGAGCATAACACTTTATTGTGTCTCCAAGGGCCTAGAAAATATTAAATGTCCTTTGAATGAATTAAGAAATCTATACTTTACTTTTCTTGAGAATTTTGTGGGCTTCTGTAGATACTCACTGTGCTTTCTAAAGCACAAAGAGTGGTGGTAGTTCGTTCGTTTTTTTTTTTTTTTTTTTTTTAACACCCAAAGCAGTGCTTGATCTCATGACACCAAGATCAAGAGTCCCATGCTTTACAGACTGAGCCAGCCATGTGCTCCGGGGTGGTGGTGGTTCTTAATGCTTCGTTTTTATGTGATCTTTGGAATATAACCAGTTTATAAGCCAAAGACTGCTGGTATTCAAAATATTGTAAAGGGGAGCATTTGCTGAACTAAGTGCTCTTGGGTAAGGAAAGGACTTTTCTTAAAATTTATAATAATAGGATGACAACTTGGCAGATAAAAAATACAGATAATTATTAAACCAACACTAGGATCTAAGCTGTTTGAATGCTAATCAGGACTTTTTAACTATTATAATTCTGTCCACTTAGAGAGATACTTGGAGTCCAGGGCCCAAGCTACCATGTATATATCTCCTCCTGCAGTGGGGGAAAAAATGATCTTGTAGCTAGATTTTTAAGTTGCTTTCACACATACTATTTTATAGCCTTGTTTTTTTTTTTTAATTTTTTTTAAAGATTTTATTTATTTATTCGAGAGAGAAAGAATGAGAGATAGAGAGCACAAGAAGGAAGAGGGTCAGAGGGAGAAGCAGACTCCCCGCCGAGCAAGGAGCCCGATGTGGGACTCGATCCCGGGACTCCAGGATCATGACCTGAGCCGAAGGCAGTCACTTAACCAACTGAGCCACCCAGGCACCCTTATAGCCTTGTTTTATCTGCTGAAAACAAAAAGGCTGTAAGAAAAATGCTAGGAACAATAACTTTAAACTTAAATTGTTTTATGGACTTTTATGATCACTATTACTTCTGTTTTACAGTAAACCTATGATGGACTTGTTGATATTCCTCTGTGCACAGTACCACTTAAATCCATCCAGTTACACAATTGATCTACAGTCAGCTGAAAATAACGCCATTAAATTTAAGCCAAACACACCAATAGGAATGTTGGAGGTGGAGAGAGTCATTTTAAAGCCAAAAATTTTGGATAAGAAAAAGCCTACGCCTATAATACCAGAGGTAAGAATGTCACTCTGATTTTGATGTCTTCTGGCAAAAATACTAAATTGATTTTTCAGTCATTATCTGCAGCTTATATTTATTTCAAATGAAATAAAAATGGACTTTCCTGGTTAAATTTGATGTGAACATGGCTATTTTGCTTGCCTTGGCCACTTTGTTAAGGATTCATTTGGTTATCAATCTTTGGATTAACTAGAATTTGGGGAATACTTTTGATTTTAGACACTCTAAAGTGATCTATAGGACCATATCAGAATCTGACAATTTTAAATGATCTACATTTTAACTTACTCTTTTAAAAAGTATTTTTTTTTAAAGATTTATTTATTTATTAGAGAGCATGAGTACACAAGTTGGGGCAAGGGGAGAGGGAGAGAGAGAGAGGGAGAGAAGCAGACTCCTCACTAACACGGAGCCCTCTGTGGGGCTCGATTTCACGGTCCTGAGATATGACCTAGCCAAAATCAAGAATCATACACTTAACCAACTGAGCCGCTCAGGTGCCCCAGAAAGATAATTTTATTTAGAGGAAGGTTTTAGAATCTTTTAATGAGAATTTATTTAAGAATTTATTAAAATATTTTTTGGCTTCTCTGTACTTGGTAAAGTGGTGGTTTTAACTTACTCTAAATTGTTAATTCAAGCTATATAATGACTCAGTTTTCTGTAATATATGAATTTTAAGCAAAAAATATTTTTTTCAAAAATTTTTAACCACAATCATTCTAATATCAATTATTTATAAAATTGTTCTGTTTCTATAAGCTATAGAGGTAGAATTTTATGGGTTTCAAGAAATATTTTTTCATTAGGAATGTCAACTTTTTTAACTTCAGGAAATATATAAAGGCCAATATATTAAATTAATAGTTTATTTACATGACTTGAGTGTATATATTCTCATATTTTCTTCATATTGTTATGCAGCTTTTTATAAGGTTAAGAATTCTTAACTGTATAGAACACATTTGTGTTCTACAAAATACTGATATTAAGAATTAATTAGGATATTGGGCTATTACCAATCTAGATACATATGTATCTAGGTGGAAATAGTATTTATTTTACAGCATGGGATTATACATGGTGTTTTAGTTTAATGAATACTTGTTAAGCTTTAAGAATCTGCAAACTGTAGGTTTCACTTAGCATGTTAACATGTTTCTAAGTTCCATTTGTATATAAGAGTTAATTACATTAAAATGATATATTTAAAATCCTCTCAATAATTTTAATTAGTACTAGATATCTAAATCAGGGTTATCTTAATAGTCTTTACTAATATATTAAAATTAGCCAAAGTATTGTCAAATAATAGAGACAGTAGGTAATCACAATAGCTAATGTTTATTTGTTGATAGTTTACTATGTGCCAGACACTATGCTAAGTTTTTTTATATGGGTTATCTCATTTGTCTTCTTTTCAATAGAGAGCAGCAGAAAAATTTTATATTTTAACCAAAATACTCTTTTTTTCATTGAGACAACAAACCATTAGGTAAATATTCCTCAACTAAAGCATAAAATAGAACATGTATAACTCTGTATTATTATGGGCATTTGCTCATTTTATAATAAATATTTTAGGGAACAAACAGAAATATCAGTAGTATCAGATATGAGGTTTTTATGTTCCCTTTTAGATTTAAAATCTAATACCTTACAGGGATTATGGATTTAATCTAGATTATTTAATCAAATTATTTCATATTCTTAGAAATAATGAAAGAATATGCTTCAGGAAAGAAAAATAATAATTTCACACCAAAATAGAAAAATACTGTTTATTGTATGACTGTATAATTGTAGATTCACCTCTTATTGTAGACATCGTTGTAGAAAGTTTTAGTAAATAAATTATGGTAATAACTATGGCTTTAATCTGTGTTTCAGAAAACTGTGAGAGTAGTGATCAATTTTAAGAAAACACAGAAGACAATAGTGAGAGTTAGCCCTCATGCACCACTCCAAGAACTTGCCCCCATTATATGCAGCAAATGTGAGTTTGATCCACTGCATACACTGTTGTTGAAAGATTATCTATCTCAGGAGCCCCTTGATTTGACAAAATCTCTTAATGACCTGGGACTAAGAGAATTATATGCCATGGATGTCAGCAGAGGTAAGTAAGACTTTTCGTTTTATTTATTTGACAGGATGTGCATATAAGAGCATGTATTGTGTTTATGTATAGGGTTTCTGAAGTTCATAATGGCGAGTTAATGGATCCTATAAATAGAAGTCAATACGTGCCATTGAGAATAAGAGACAATGAAATGTAATAAAATTCAACTTGATTTCAGTTTTTGAAATTAGAATAAAAACTTGTCTTTCTTAGTTGTCATTCACTTTTTACACTTTTCCATCAATCTATGAATATTTTTGGTGGGATTTAACTTAATTCTTTGTGGCTGTAAAATTTAAACAGAAAATAAAGATTTACATTTAAATTCATTGTTGTTTTAATCAAGTGTGAATTACTGTAGACTCACCATGGTTTTGTCTGAGTCTTGTCATTCAAATTTCTAAGTTTCTTGACAAATTTTTTTCTAGGTTCACCCAAAATCAACTAGCTTATAAAATAAATCTAACTCCAAAAATATTTAAATAAAAATAGCTTGCAGTATTAATCTGTAGAAATAACTGAGTGTATTAAAATTTGGAGATCTTAGATAATGTTTGTTTCTATGCTAATAGACAACTGCAAGCTTATTTATTCAATATGAATCTGTTTTATTAGAAACAAAAGTTTAGTGAAGGATTACTTACTACATCGATGCTTTGTGCATTGAGCCCTTCAAACTTTATCCTGAAATTGTGGATTTATATAATCCATAGACAGCTGTTTCAACTCAGTGATGTTTTATACTTGAACAAACATCATCTTTACAGTCAATTTACCGTCTTTTACCCCCCCTTCTGTAGCCACTTCTGTTACTGCCTTCAATAAATCATCTTTACAAGGTAAGACATATGAATCAGTAGAAAAAATTATAACATGAAATTTCTACTTTTATTGGATAAATTGAAAATAAGCTTCTAATTTTACCTGTTTTCTTAACATTACTAATGTGTACATTCTTTAAGAAAACCTTCGGCTTTTGTTTCCTGAAAAATAATTTATAAGCCCTCCCCCTTGATTTCTGAAATTAATACAATAATAATATTTCAATAATTGATTAAAAATATCATCCTAAGAATGTGAAAAACATTTTTTTTAAAGATTTATTTATTTGAGAGAGAGAGAGAGAGCATGAGCAGAGGGAGGAGGCACAGGGAGAGGGAGAGGGAGAAGCAGGCTCCCGCTGAGCAGGGACCCTGGTGTGGGGCTTGATCCCATGGGATCATGACCTGAGCCAAAGGTAGATTATGTTTAACCGACTGAGCCACCCAGGCGCCCAAGAAACATATTTTTGACTCTCAGACAAGAAAAAATGATTTTGCTGGGTTCTTTAAGTATAGTTCCTGATAGTTTGGTGGTACCATGGAAGGATCTCAGATTATTTACATTGAACAGTTATTCAGAGTAATCAGGGTATATTCATCATAGGAAATTATTGCAGTGTTAAATTGTGAATATTTTATAATAAAATGGAAAATGCTCATGCTAGCTTTTAAACCATTTAAGTGTTTTTAATACAGTATATAAAAAAATTTTTACATAAAATTTCTGAAAGGAAGTACATAAAAAATTTTAATACTGGTTACCTTGGGTGGTAGGGCTGTGGATGATTTTTTTCATCCTTTTTTTCTTTATATTACAGAACTTTATAATGGGAATTTAACTTTATTATAAATTAGCCAATAATAATAACGTCTGGAAGCCTTTTTCCTCCATTAAAAAAGGATAAGCTCAGATAATTGATTACTATAATAATTACCACTCTACTAAAAAAAAAACAATAAACTATACACATTATGTGTTATTGGAATCTTCTTTCTTTACCACTTCCAATTTTCCCATAACACAAAAAGTCTGTATGAGTAATAGTGTGATTATTTATTATTAGTGGCTTGATTCAAGAAGACTAGGTTAATCAAAGGAGCTGGAAATTGTTATGTTCATAAAGCATATACTGGCTAATAATCAGAAGATAGACGTTTTAATCCTGAAACTGCATTAGCTGTCAAACTCATTTAGCAAGCCGATAGGGCAAATAGCTTTTTATCTGTCTGCATCACACTTTCCACTTCTATAATAACAGATTGGAAAAAGTGGTCTCTGTGCTTTTTTTCCAATAGCAACATCCTGGTACTTGTACTTGGTTTTTGCTCCTACCATTGCCATTCTCTATATACATTACTCAAAGCAAATTCCATAATCTTATTGGCCTCATTTTGAAGGTGTTGAATGCATTGGTTTGTAATAACCCTTCCAGCCAAGAAAGTATGTATTTATTTAGAGTACTAAATGTTGTGAATGTAACCTTACAAGATTGGATAAGAAAATTCAGAAAGCTCATTTTACGGTGTCAAAATCTACAAGATCAATCCAAATGCTATAAATGCCTCTGCCTCCTTATTTTGTCGATATTATCAAAAGTCTTAGTACTTTGTATGCAGTTACTTATAGCCTCTCTTCTGGAAACAGGAAACTATAAATTTGAGTTGTTTTCTAGTAAGCTCAAGTCCTTGTGTTTCTTAGTGTTTAACTCTGACTTGTGGTGATCTCTGCCATAGAGCTTTAAGTGAAGACTTAGCTTAACTAGTATGGAGGATGACAGGGTGCCTGGAAATTGCTTTACCAAAAATAACTTTGCTTATATTTATTGCACTGTACTACCATGTGAAATATCTACATTCAGTTAGTCTTCATCTTAAAATGAAATAACATTTCTTAAAAAAAAAAAAGGAAAAGCCAAAGGTATTATATATCATCGATGAGTAGATATTATATTGAATTTTACCATTTAATGCCTGTGTGTCTTGGTGCAAGTTATTTAAACTGTGGTCACCAGGGCTTCCGATGTATAATGGGACAATACTGTCTGCTTCCATTTCTTTACATTCCCTAACTTAGAAAAAAGGACTCAGAATGATAACTTGTGATAATTTCTGATAATCCTCTTTGGATTGTTCTAGGAAAGAAATTAGGCATGTGAAAAAATATGTAACCATAAAGTGCTATCCACGTGTTCATCATTAGTATTGTCAGTAAACTCATTGTACAGAATGCATACTGCATATTTAAAATTTAAAGCATCAGATTTATGAGGTTTTAATTTGTGAAATATTCTTCTTTATCATGTTATTGAAGCATATTGCATTAATATACTTATTGGCATTAACTATCTTTGCTTTCCTGGAGTAGCCCCTATTTCGTCATAATTTATTTAATTTTTAAACATTTTTTTAAACAAAAAGACTGTACATGCAGTCCTAAGAGAGGGGTATATATTTAAGATTTCAATGTATTTAAGACCATACATTTACCTCTAAGTGCTGCTTTAGACATATCCCACAAATTTCAATATACAGTACTTTGTTTCCAATATCACTGAAATTATATTGTGATTTATCATAAAACACATATGTGCTCCTTAGTAGAATGTTTTCAAAATTGATATATTCCCCACTCCTTGTTTCTCTCTTTCTCTCTCTCTTTTAAAATTTGTATTTCATTTGTTGAAGAAACTGGGTCTTTTATCTTACCGAATTTCCCACATTCAGAATTTTGTGGATTGCATCCTTTGGTGCCATTTAACATGTTTCTTGATTGTCTCTATTTCTTATAAATTGATTGTTAAACCTAGAGACTTGATCAGATTTGGGTGAGATATTTTCAGCAGAATACTTCATAGGTGGTATTATATATTTCCGTTAGCAGCCATGTAATAGCAAGTTACGTTTATGTATGTATGTATGTACATAATCTCTGTACCCAATGTGGGGCTCAAACTCATGACCACAAGATCAAGAGTCGCATGCCCTACCAATTGAGCCAGCCATGCACCCCACAAGTTATCTTTTTTGATGTTAGCTATCGATAATCATTGCCTGAATCTTGATTAGGAGTTGGAAAATAATCATTATCTGCAAATATTCCTTTAATTATAAATTGAGATATTTCAGAAACAGCAAATTTCCCCTTTCAGCTACTTGTCTACCTAGGTGGAATTCATTCAGAAGAGGCAGGAAAAAAGTGTGATTCTTTTCCTTCATCAGTATTTATTTATTTATTTATAGAGATAATTTTTTTAAAGATTTTATTTATTTATATTTTAGAGTGAGTGTGGATGGGGTGGGGGAAGGGCAGATGGGCAAGGGAGACCATCTGAAGCAGACTCCCCGCTGAGTGCAGAGCCCAGTGGTGGGCTCGATTTGGGGCTTGATCTCAGGACACTGATACCCAAAACCAAGTCAGACGCTTAATGGATTCAGCCAGCCAGGCATCCCCCTTCATCAGTTTTTAAAATAACAGACTGGTTCCTTAGCAGTACATAGAGGTAAACAGTAAGGATCAGTTATTTTTTCAGCATCACTACAAATCATGGAATTAAACATATGCAAAATGTTTCCATTTATTGAGTAGTTCTATGATGCCCAAACTGTCCTGACCTTGGCCAGTAAAAACCATATCTGATTGATTCCTGTGCCCTTTTAAAATGACCCCAGTGGACTCTGATTTCTTTCTCTTTGCTATAATTAGAAATTCCAGACTCGTCTTTACAATCCTTGGTGTGGACAAAGAATCAGCCGTTCTTATGCAATTGTGGTCCCTTTTTAGTGGGAAAAGGTGTTTAGAGACCATCTGGGCCAGGGCTACTCAGCACCACTGGATTTGTCATTGTTTGTAGGCCTTCTCAGTTGACATTAGGAAATACTTTTTGGAAAATGGAATGTTAATATGTAATCATGAGGTTTGACATTTGCCATTCTGATTAAAATGTGGTTTCTTAATTTTGACACTATTGACATTTGGGCTTGGATGATCCTTTTTTGTTGGGGGGCTATCTTGGGCATTATATTGTGTTCAGCATCATCACCAGCCTCTAAGATGCTGGTAGCACATTCTCCTGCTCTACCCCTAGTTGTGACAATCAAAATTGTCCCCAGACAATGTCCAGTGTTCTCCGGAATGGGGGTGGGGCAAGATTGCCCCCTAGTTGGGAACCAGCATATTGAAGAAATAATGTTTTGGAAACACTTAATAAAGTACTAAGTAATTATAGTGAATCATGTTTTAGAGAATAAAATATTTCATAATTGTTTAGCTCTGAGACAAAATAAAAATTCAAAATAAAGGGACAAACTGTTGATAGCTTCATATCTCATTTAATTCAAAGTGTCCATTTTACTTCTGAAATGTTGGTAATTATGGATGGAACAGACTCTGAGTCACAAAGAATTGAGTTTATGTCCCATCTCTGTCATTGCTTGATGGTTGGCCCCATGTATGTATATTCGTTTCTTAATCTTCAGATTGCTCTGCTGTGAAATAGGAACGATAATACTAAACTTCCTTGTTGCTTTGAGAATTAAATAAGATATAAGATGCCTAGCAGAGTGCATGGTTCATAGTAGACCATAATTAGTAGCTTTCATCATTGTATAAATTTTTCAAGGGAAAGAAACTGAGGGAAAACTTGGAGGTAAATCTACAATCCCATTTACATAAGTAAGAGGCTTTTCTTCTATTTTAGAATCCTGCCAAATATCACAAAATCTAGACATTATGAAGGAGAAAGAAAATAAAGGGTTTTTCAGCTTTTTTCAGCGCAGTAAGAAAAAGCGGGAACAGGTAAGTATTTTCTTATGTAATATTTTATAAGATTCTTCTCATCTGTTTTTAATTGCATGTGCAGTGCTTTTTTATCTTGAAATGACCTATAGGTTTTGCCTTTTCATTCTTTATTAGACTGCAAGTGCCCCTGCAACTCCTCTAGTAAATAAGCATCGCCCAACTTTTACAAGGTCCAATACCATTTCCAAGCCATATATTTCAAACACCCTGCCATCGGATGCACCCAAGAAGAGGCGGGCCCCGCTGCCTCCAATGCCAGGGTCTCAGAGCGCCCCCCGGGACCTTGGTCACATCCAGGAGAGGCCAGCTTCTTGTGTAGTGAAATCCTTGAGTGTGGACGAAACAGAGAAGGTACATAATTGTGTTTTGTTTGTGTTTTTAGGATGGGGCAGAGGATCATCTATTTTTCCTCTTGGCCTTTTCCACATAGACTGCTAATAAGATTAGTAACAGTCACTAATATGTAATAAGATGAATAACTTGTTATTGATAACATTGGCACTGGGAAGAGTTTACATATGTATAGTTCTGTGATGCAGTAAAGAATAAATGTGTCAATTTTAAGTAACTTTTATCTTCAAGCAAATAAATCACCCATAAACCTTAAAGTCCTGGCTTACTAAGGCCCAACCAGAGGTGCTTGCTTGATGCATGTATTGGGAATGCAAATACTCAATTTTGAACTTTTTGTTAACATAGCACCAAAGTCTTTATGTTGCATTCATGGGTTTCTAACTAGATGTATCTTCTTGACCTGACTCTGGGATTCTCACAGGGAAATCCGGGTGTCTTGTTGGTACATAGACACTCTATAGTTTAAAAAAAAAAAAAAAGGTGTTTTTATATAGAATATATTGCAGTTACTTTTATATACTCTTATGTTCAAAGCAGTGTTCTGGGTATGTCTTTTCCCCATACTGACTTATTGCTTCTTTGTACTCCCACATTTCCCTGGACTATGCTGTTTTGTGGAAATCCATTTGCAACCTACTTTTCATGCCTATAAAATGTTTGCTTTTTTTTATGTGGACTATAAATGAAGTTTTAAGTAAACATGATTAAACATGAGACTATATATTTTGTTGCTTGTAATCAGACAAATTATTCAAGTAGCTTTGAGAGCAAATTTTATTTTGAGATATTTGAGACACTGAGAAGTTTTCTTGTATCTACTTGAAGGGTTTTTATTTCCCCTTGGAAGTTTAGTAAACTAAATGCTTAAGTAAACTAATGCCTCCCAACCAACTAATAAACTTTTCTGTGTTTTCTTAACTTTAAATATTTTTAAATATAGTTTTTTTTAAGATTTTATTTATTTATCTGACAGAGACAGCTAGAGAGGGAACACAAGAAGGGGGAGTGGGAGAGGGAGAAGCAGGCTCCCCACCGAGCAGGGAGCCCAATGCAGGGCCTGATCCTAGGACCCTGGGATCATGACCTGAGCCGAAAGCAGACACTTAACGACTGAGCCACTATAGTTTTTAATTGTAATTTATAAACTATCATATGTGCCTTTAGAAAGTAAATAGCAAGGTGGCTGGGTGGCTCAGTAAGTTAAGCATCTGCCTTCAGCTCAGGTCATGATCCTGAAGTCCCAGCATCAAACCCTGTGTCAGGCTCTCTGCTCAGCAGAGACTCTGCTTCTTCCTCTGCCTGCCTCCCCCCACCCCCCGCCATGCTCATGCTGTCTCTCTCTCTCTCTCTCTCTCTCTC